CCTCCGTGTCATGCTGCTGCTCGCGCCGCTCCCTGGCTTCACTCGCGCCGCCGCCGCCGCTCCCCTCACAGGACAACAGCCAATATGGCGGCGCCCGGCTCCCCCTCTGCCACTGCCAGCAGGTCAGAGGGCACGCGGAGTTCGCGCCGCCGCATTAGCCGCCGAGGCTGCCTGCGCCATTTTGAATCAGGTCACTACCCGGGGTCCAGCGGGAGAAAGAAGCTGACGGGGGGACGTCGTCCCCATCCCGGGACCAGAGGGTTGCGACCTGCTCGAGGAGATGGTGTACGCTGTGGTAACCGTGCCGCACGGCCCTGGGCGCTTAATAGCTGCCTGTTAAATGAATGAGTGAGTTAATTTCCATCTTACTACAGTACTTCCACACCCATCACCTGACTCCTCGCACCCTACGCGGCGAGGCAGGTACGATCGTTCCCATTTTGCAGTGGAGAAAATCGAGGCTACGGAAGGCGAAATGATTGCTCAACATCATCCAGCCGGAACTCATGGGTTCTTGGACGGCCTGAGCTGAAAGAGACGAAGGAATCATCTAGGTCTTTATTTTGCAACGTATGGTCCACTGAGAGTCCAGCGTTTGGTGCTTGGGACAGCGGGACTCAGACCCGGCTTCTTCTCCCTCAGTCTGGTGGGGAAGGTGGACACTTAAATACACAATTACAACCAGTGTGATAAAGATGAGATGACTGGGGCACGTACTAGGTCAGTGTTTCCAAAAAAGTAGTATGTGCAGGAGAGGATTTTGACTGGTATGCAAAGGAACATTAAAAAATCTAATAATTATGTATTTAATTGTGAAAAATGGGATTTTCCCCCGCCTCTTCTTTTTTGAATAGATTAGACATGCAGATGGTACAAATTTCTAAAAGTTTTGAGGGCAGTCTGTCTCATGCCAGGGCCAGTGGTATTCTGAAAGCATGTGGCAGTTCTGTGTAGAGTTGCTGTTGATGTCATTGACAGGGGCAGAATTCTGACATTGGCCTAACCCACCAAACAAGGGCTATTTTGAGAGGAAGGACTAAATGAAAGGCCCTGGAGCTCTCCTTAATTGCCAAGAACATAAATGAAAAAATAATACTTCATCTCATCACAGGGATTAGTGCCGCCATCAAAGATTTGAAAGATTGGTGGGGATTCCTGCTACATCAACATTACCTTTTCACTTTGGCCAGAATAGAAAGTGGTATTTTTTCCTGTTTATTTACTTTTGTTGTACTAAAATATGCATAACATAAAAATTACTATCTTAACCATTTTTAAGTGTTCCGTGGTATTAAGTACATTCATATTGTTGTGCAGCTATCTCCACCATCCATCTCCATAACTCTTTTCATCTTGCACAATTGAAACTCTATACTCATTAGATAATAACTCCCCATTCTCCCCTCCCTCAGCCCTTGGCAACCACCATTCTACTTTTTTTTTTTTTTTTTTCTGAGGAAGATTCACCCTGAGCTAACATCTGTTGCCAATCTTCCTCTTTTTCTTGCTTGAGGAAGATTAGCCCTGAACTAACATCTGTGCCAATCTTCCTCTATTTTGTACGTGGGTCCCTGCCACAGCATGGCTGTGGAGTGGTATAGGTCCCCACCTGGTATCCGAACCTGGGCCTCTGAAGCCCTTGCCAAAGGAACGGAGTGTGCCAAACTTTAACCACTATGCCTCTGGGCCGACCCCACCATTCTACTTTTTAAGAAATAATCTCCCGGGCCAGCCCGGTGGTGGCATAGTGGTTAAATTCGTGCACTCTGCCTCTGCGGCCAGGGGTTCGTGGGCATGGGTCCTGGGTGCAGACCTACATGCTGCTCATCAAGCCATGCTGTGGTGGCATCCCACATACAAAATAGAGGAAGATTGGCACAGATGTTAGCTCAGGGCCAGTCTTTCTCACCAAAAAATTAATAAAAAATAAAAACAAACAAAAAAATCTCCACCTTTTCCCCACACCTTAGCCTCTGGTAACCACTGTTCTACTCTCTATTACTATGAGTTTGGCTTTTTTTTTTTTTTTTTTTTTTTAAATACTCCACATACAACTGAAATCATGCGATATTTGTCTTTTTGTGACTGGCTTATTTCACTTTACAAAATGTCCTCCAGTTTCATCCATGTTGTTGCAAATGGCAAGATTTCCTTTGCTGAAAAATATTCCTTTATGTATCTATTTTATATATATATTCACAGTCATGCGTTGTTTAAGGATGGGGATATGTTCTGAGAAATGCGTCGTTAGGCAGTTTTGTCATTGTGTGAACATCATAGAATGTACTTACACAAACCTACGAGGTACAGCCTACTGCATACCTAGGCTATATGATACTAATCTTATGGGACCACAGTTGTACATGCAGTCTGTCTTTGACTGAAATGTCATTATGTGGCACATGACTGTATATATATACTTTATATATATATGTTCCTATATGTTTTTATATATATATATTTTATATATATATATATATATATATATATATATACACACAAACACACGCACCACATTTTCTTTATCCCTTTTTACGTTGACGGAGAAGATGGATGGTCTTAAAGAATGACAGAGCATTATGATAAACTTATTCTGGTAGGGACCCCAGTCGCAGGCACTTTTTCAGAGTGGTCATGCGTGGAGCAGATTGGCACAGTTGTTGGCCTCTAATAGACAACTATAGGTCTAGTCAATGCTTTTGCTTCTATGCCCAACCTCAGGAATAGTTTGTGTTCCTCTGGCAGTGGCAGCAGTAACCTTTACCGTCTTGCTTTAGGGGTATGTCACTCTCTGGACACATTTAGTTTACAGGAATTTTTGACAAACTCGCCATTCCAGTGGATGTCAGGCTAATCTACTGTGACACTGATGACATCATCCTGATGAACCTTGAGAAAGGGAAGTAGCAGATACCCTAGATGACTTGGTAAGCATGATGTGTGTGCCAGAGGGCAGATGATAAATTCCACAAATTATACAGGGGCCTGTCTACTCAGTGAACTTTCTAGGGGTCTAGCGTGTGTTAAGATATTCCTACAAAATGAAGGACTAGCTGCTGTACATCACACTCTCTACCACTAAAAAAGAGGTACAGTACTTGGTAAGCTTCTTTAGACTTGGGTGGTAAAATATACCATATTTAGGTACATTATTTTTACCTATTACTGGGTCACTTGAAAGCTGTCAACTTTTGGGGGGCCCATACAAGGAGAGAAGGTTTTCTTAATGGATCAGGCTGCAGAGTCAGTAGTTCTGCCTTTGGCTTTTAAACTCAGGCACTGGATTTTGGAGTATGCCCTCCTTCAGCAAATGGTTATTCTCCTTTTGAGAAACAGCTCCTGGTTTGCTCCAGGGGTCTGGTGAAATTGAATTCCTGACCATGGCATACCAAGTGACCATGTGACCTGAGCTACCCTGTTATCTGATCTACCCAGCCATAAAATCAGGGGTGGCCAGCAGCACTCCATCTTCAAGAGGAAATGATGTATATGCCTGGGTCCAGCAAGCCCTAAAGGCACAAGTAGGTTGCCTGAGCAAGTTGTTTACATTCCTCTCCTGCTACCAATGTTGATGTTCATGGTCTCTTAGAGAGTTGTTTATGATGAATTGACTGAGGAAGAAAAATCTAAAGCCCAGTTTGCACACAGCTCCGCATTGTCTGCTGGCTTCAGCCAGAAGTGGATTGCTTGGATGTTCCAGTCTTCCTCCTGAGGGACCTAGAAGAGGGAAGTGCGCCCAGCAGTCCTGAAGGAAAGACACACCGATTCCTGGGCATTGGATCATGGGCTAGTCTGTTGGTCAGAGACTTGGAAGGAAACAGACTGAAGGCTTAGTGACAAGAAGTGTTGAGGAAGACAAATATGCATAAGCTGTTCAGGATGGGTCCGGAGCATAAGGTTGTTTGTGTCCCAGATGAGCATTCACCAAAAGGGCCTCACTACAGAAGAACCTCTTAAAAGCCTGGTGAATGGCTGGCCTGGTGGCACAATGGTTAAGTGCGCGCGCTCCGCTTCGGCAGCCTGGAGTTCGCAGGTTCGGATCCTGGGTGCACACCGATGCACCACTTGTCAAGCCATGCTGTGGTGGTGTCCCATATAAAGTAGAGGAAGATGGGCACAGATGTTAGCTCAGGGCGAATCTTCCTCAGCAAAAAAAAAAAAAAAAAAGAGGATTGGCATGGATGTTAGCTCAGGGCTGATCTTCCTCACACACACAAAAAAAATGCCTGGTGAGCAGGTGGCTCCTTCAGTGGCTATCAGTCCGTCTCCTTCTGCAGCCATTTCAGGACTCCCTCAGTGGGTTTATGAGAACACTGGCCCAGCGATGTGGACTGCTTACTCCCATAGCTGGCCTCTCTACTG